TGGTGAAGGTTACGTAAAATACACGGTTTTTGATTTATAATGCTGTACACTTAAAACCTATATAATGTTATTTTAATAAAAATGGGAGGAAGGAAGAGAGGGAGGTCAGGAGGGAGGGAAGGAGGCAGGCAGGCTGAAATCAAGCAGTGGCTGACCTCTACTGAGGGGTGTGAGCCTTTTGTTTCTAAAAACATCCTGTGAGCTCTGACAGGTGCAGCGTCCACGTTGGGGACATAGAAACAGAGGACAGTCAAGTACCTTGTTCACTAAAGGAGCTGATATTCCTCTGGAGCTATACCTTTCGTGGAATGTTAAAGAAATAAAATTTCTCCAATTCATGGGGAACTAGCTATGGGTCATTTAAGAGAGAAATATAATCTCTCTCCCCTGGAAAAACCTGACGAAATATTTAGGGCCATTAAACCATCACGATTCTGGCTCTGACTTCAAATAAACAGGATAAATAAACCCTCCTTTCTCTGCATCTCTAATTTAGCAAAGCTTTTAAATGCCCTCTCCAAGCAAGTGAATTTCATATTTGCATCTTATTTGAAATGTACTGGCATTTTGCTAGATTTTTTAACAGCAGTTTGGCAGCCCTGAGCAGTCTATTTGGAGATATAAAGCAATATCTGCCCAGAGCTTCACATTCTGGGGCCAAACACACATACATATGCATGCACATATTTAGAACACCTATGATGAATATATAATTGCTGGGATTCGGCAGGGATAGAAACCAAAGACTTGCCAGGACAGTATGCAGTACTACGACTAGATCTCATTTGCTGAGAGCTGAAAATGTGTTAGCATTTGCATTTATACCATATTTACTTCTCAGAGCATTAATAACAATTGATAACATTTACTGAGGACTTTCCAAGTGCCAGGTTTTGTTGTAAGAACTTCCATACATATGAACTCATTTAATGTTCTCACAGCCCGAAGTTGTGGTGGGGCTGGGATTTATACACATGCAGTGGAGCATCAATGTTGAGGCATAGATATGATTCCATCCTGCCTTTCTAATGCTATTGTTACCCCACAGACAGATGACACCAGAGTCTGGAGAGGCTAGTAGGCTGGTCCAAGGTTATACAACCAGCAACTGACCAAGCTGGGCTTAGTACCAGATCATTTGGCTTCACATCCCAATTGCAGTGGTCACACAGGGTAAGACACTGTGGCATTTATGACAAAGGAAAGCTTGAACTTGGAGAAAACTGGGAAATGCTCAAAGTATGAGGAGATAATCTGAAAGTCCTGGTAGAGTGAATGGCCATGCTAGTCATTGTCTAAATTTTTGAAACTGAAATAGGGCACTGTTAATAATAAAGCAGAATAGGGACAAAATAGGAGGTGTGGCCGCTGAATGGGGCGCTGATAAAATTATGCCACTGTTTTTCATTAATTGACTTACTTGTTGAAATGAATTTGTCACTCTAAGTTAAGCAACCCTAACAAGTAATAAAAGTATTATAATATGACCATGATAAGTAAATTGTTTCAGTAGTCTTCCCAATTCATTTGAAAATTGTTATCGCAGAGTAATAAAATACATTTTATTCAGGGAACTGAAATGATTGCCAGAAACAAGGCAACATTAATCACATTGTATATTTATTTAAAATACTTAAAAACAAATTAGACATATATCTTACAGGCTCCTACCAAGTCTTGTTAATTAGCATGTAGTGATTTCTCTTAAGAATAAATGAAGGTGATTTAAAGCAAATTGAGTCTGCTCCACATGCTTCCATTGACTCACATTATTGCTTATTTTATCTCAATTTCTTAGCTTCCATTTTATAAGCTCTACATGAGCTAGTATCTCTCCTTTCAGAAATCTATATAGAGAGGTTTATTTATTATTATTTATTTATTCATGCATAAGAGAACTGGGGTACAGGCCAGAGTTGCAGGGAGGGGGATGAGAGGATTCACCAGAGATAGAGTGGGGAGCAGAACAGGCAGATCTATGGAAATACACTGCTGAGTAGCAGTAAGCAAGACAGGCGAGGTCTGCTGTGCCATGTGGATAGCTCCCTGGCTGGGCCTGCCAGGGAATCAAACTAATGCTGCAGTGGCTGCGGATAGCTTCATAGGTTGGGTCTTAACCCTTTGTATCACCAGGGAGGCCCTTACATGTTGATTTTCAATGATACACACCTGACATTTATAAAATGGTATAAGGCAATGTTTTGTCAACAAAATTACACATAAAATATATGGTAAGAAAAAAGGTAATTGAAAAATAGCTTTATTTTTTATTTTATATATTTTTTACATCATTTTTCATTTTTGCACAATGTATACATTCAAGGGGTTAAGCACCACACTAAGAAGCAATCCACACCTTCTGCAGCACAAGTTCGATCCCCACCGGCCAGGGAGCAACCCACATGGCGAGCCAGACCGCTTCTGTCTTGTCTGTTGCTCCCCTCAGCAGTGTATTTCAGTCAGTCTGCCTGTTCTGCTCCCCACTCTATCTCTGGTGAATCCTCTCACCCCCTGCAACCCTGGCCTGTACCCCAGCTCTTGTATGCATAAATAAATAAATCTTAAAAAAAATAGCTTTAGCAAGAATCACCTTTTGTTGTAGGTGCTGAGTACAGTAGAGAAAAGGACATGATTCTTACCCTTTTGAAGCTTACATTCTTGCAGGGAAGACAAGCAGCAAGTAAACACATAAATAAATTAACTCTAAAACTCCATCACGGAATCTAATAAGAAAATAACATTCGTTTCATCGGCATCCACTTTACAATCAACTCTGCACGAATGCTATTCTTCAAAGTTTAAAATGACATATACAACCTTAGATGCAAAGCAAAACAATTAGTGTCGACATAATTTATGTACTAATAATTGTTTAATAGTTCCCATGATTCAATTTTTTCTTCTTACAATTTATTGGGGAAAGGCAAGAAGCAAGAAAATTGGAAGAATGCTAATGTATTTCTTCATTTTGGCTTTGATTTCATTAGCTGGCCTTTATTTTGTTTTTGCTGCTGTAGGCTCTTTCCCACACTTTCTGGATCTTTATATTTGTCTTTGTATCATTTGTATCTTTACATTATTATAATGTAAATTATAATAGCTAAATACTTTAGTCTCCATTATCATCACTGAGTATAGCGGAAACGATGAATTTTTTAAAAACTAGGCAATGTGGACTTATTTGAAGACAGACCATGGTTATGCTGATTAGTTTAAATGTGCAGTTCAGGCAGAAATATTTTAGACTTTCCATTCTGCTCTCTCTCTGTAAACACCCATTGAGCTACTTAACATCGCCCTTAACACAGATATTTCTTCTTTAGTTCTGTCTCCTTTGTCAAGACATAAGCATGTTTATTAAGGATTTATCAAAGAGTGAAATATCATACATTTTGGTATTTTCGAATGTATGTACACAAGGATTTTCCCCCACCCTTTAAAATATATAAATAATTTCTGTTTCCAAAGCATTCCAAATACACACATCCTAACAAATTGGTTGGTGATGATATGAGACTAGGCAGTTTGCCCATAATTGAAGACATTTTGCCAACAAGTCACAGGCTGCCAGGAGACGCAGGAAAAGCACCTCTGAATATAAACGCATGATCCCAATGTAAATATCAAGGCTTTCTGCCCTTTCCGAAGCCATGATTCCAGCCCACATGACTGGCAGATACCTTAATTAATCATGGCGCCACATGACGGGCCTCCACACAGACAACTGTTATCTCAGCTCCAAGCTAACGTTCACGTCCCACCCCACTCTTTGATGTGACCCACTTCTCTTTGTCGTGACCGTGCTGTTCAGAAATGAGACCCTAAGCAAATTTGATTTAAATTACAACCCTTATCTTTTTTGTGTGGTCTTTTCAACAGGATTGATGTCAACACTGAATTTGGACATTTTCACTAGCTGTTTTTAGCGTTCATGGTGTGAATATACATGTATGTTTTCTCCCTCAAACTGAGATGGCATTAAGATATAAGAAAATCAAAGTTCTTTTGAAATTCATAATTAGAGACCAAAAATAGGAGTCCTTTAAAATGACAAAGAAATGGCAGCTTCTTAACACTATGTACGGGGCTGGTTCCTCCCCAGTGAAGGGAGCAAATTGCTACTCTTTTGGAACACTTTTGCAGGCCATTAAGGAACAATTTCTTATGTTAGGGTAGCAATTTATTAAGTGAATTCCTCGTGGCAAGAGAGACTTAATGCACCTACTAAACAGGAGCACTTAGTCACCTTCTCATTAATAGTTCTTGCCCATTACATAAAGTTCATAAGAGGCAGTAGTGAGATTGTCATGGCTCTTAAGAGCAAAATCTTATTCTCTTTGGTGAGATTAATTATTGATGTTGGGGACATGTTTTTGGACTTAACAAGCACTCGGAAAGGGTTCATGCTAAATAACTGCTTCCTGCCTCCATCCCACTGATAATATTTACAGTGGCATTTGGAGTTCCTGCTATAGCTTTTCATTTGAACCTGTCAATGTTTAACAGGCCTCCATGTCCTCCATCCCTTTCCATGAACACATCTTCCATCTGGTTACCATGGCATCCTTCAGATTCTTGCATCACTATCAATGGTTCGCAAACTTTTGTCTGGCCCAGGACACTTCCCAAAAATAAGAGTGGCTCATCCAAGTGCCCAATGTTTTCTAATAAGGATTTTATAGCTGATAGCACATCTGCCAAGGAGAACACACCAGTTACATTTTTCTAGGTACTCACAGTTAACCTAATTAGTGACCTGAAATTCTCTAGAGAAAAATGTGCTCTCATTTATTTTTTTTTCTAAGAAAGTATATTACCATACTACCAAAATACGCACAGAATTGTAATGCAAGTGTAATCCATCAGTGAGAAGATGTGTAGAACCAGGGGAATGAATGCCAAGAGCCAGGTGCCCACGCCACTTGGTCTGATCCCTGAGCTCCATTATCCAGTAATAAAGGAGGAACAGGGCCAGAAGCCAGCCAGGCCTGTGACTCACAGGCGCCTTGGGCCTCTGGGGAAGCAGGGGCAGCAGCTTCAGTGAGCACTGTCCGGGGCCAGTAAGGAGGTCTTTGGCACTCAGGATAAGGAAAAAGAAGAAGGAATGTGAGCAGGGAAGAGCTGAAGGAGCAGTGGATCAAATCACAGAGGCGAATCTAATACAACGCCAACACAAATGAGAGCTCTTCGACTGAAGGAAGCCCTTGGTCAACAATATTCAAATGATGTTTATAAACCCTTCACCAAAGTGTAGGCAAGACTGAGGGCTTTGGGTGGGCTGTGTTTTAATGATCATGAAAGAAAAAATGTATTACTTTTTTCTTATTTTTCTTAGAGGAAAAATAAGAAAACATGACTGCAGTCACATTGATCCCAGAACTTTTCCTACAGGTACAGACTGTACATATTTCTACTTAAATAATATACTCTCAAAAGTGTTTTGGGACATTTTAAATACTTTTTTTAGAAATTCGGTAATATGATTGAACATTTTCATTTAAATATATTTTAGAAATGGAGGATGATGCAAGAGACTTATCTTTCATCTGTCCAAAGAATCAACTAGTTTTCTTTTCTAATAAATTTCTTCTAGGCAAATTGCCAAATTTTGTAGGTTTTTGTATATTCCACTTTTTTTTTTATAGAATTATCAGGAAACTCATTCTAGAGGGAAGGAAACCTTCCATAAATTTCTCCTGCTCTTCCTTGAATCACACTATGGTACAGAATGGCAATAGGTTACAAACTGGTTTATGAGCAGTTTTTCATTTCAGTATAAGGCTGATGGTCCCTGCATCAAAATTACCTGTAACCTTCTGGATCTATCTCTCAAGTAGTTATGCATATGATTTAATACACTGGCCCAGGCATATTAGAGTCAGCTAAATATATGGATTGTGTGTGTCAGCTCCTTCTCATAAATAATAATGTTGTACTTTCTCTCTCAAAACAATTGGCCTCCACAATGACAACTGATTATAGGAAAAACAAAGAGGGTTTCTTGTGATGGGTCCTTAATAGATTTTAAATAATAACAATTAGAACATGGTAAGCCCAAAATCATAGCAATTACGTATCCCTTGTTTAGAATGTAATCTGAATTCTCACATCAATTCCATGCTGTGTGTTTAAATTTCAGTTCACTGAGACTTACTGATTAGACTAGAGACATCTTGTAGTATTTCTTTCAATATCTAGCTAACTGTGGTATTGGATTTAGCAACCATTCCCTCAGAGCCCTAATGTGGCATCTGGAGAAGCAGCTGCTCAGTTTCTTATTGGAGAAATATTCATATAATGAAATGTTTATCTTTACAAAGCGATATAGATTTTATACATCCTGGTTTTATTTAATGAAAAGGTATATTCTTTTAAGAAATCATTAAGTATTTTAATGTTTAGTCATATTTTTGTTTTGCATAACAAGATTTGCTCAGAGGCTGATACCACCCAGATCCCAACACATCTCATACGCCTGCAGCAACTGTGTCTTCCAGCACCTGCAAAGCTAATGTCTCAGCTGCACACCAGGCAGACAGGCGGGCGGCACCAGGCACTCCTTGCATGGACAGATGCTGCTCGCCGGGCCCCTCCCTGGACACAGACTGATCTAATTGGAAGCCTCACCCAGAGCTTGGGGTTCTGCACCTTAGAAATTCAAGAATGTGCTCTCATAGATGGTTTTTAAATTAAAACCACATACTTAAAAAATAAATGGCAGAGAGGAGAAGCCAGAACAATTGCTGTACTGACTTTTAATTTAGAAAAGGGGAAAGCCTAAAGCTCCCCTGCATTTTAGAGCTTCCCCACTGCTTGCTGCAGAGAAGCCCGAGCGGACGGGGCCTGGCCCTTTCAGCAACCCTGCGCCGACTTTAGAAGCACAGCTGATTTGGGCTGGGCCTCTTTACCAGCATGTTTATATTAGCTCAAATAGAAGCTCACTGTGGGAATAGATAGAATCTTACAGTGAGAGCTGGTTTTGGCAAAGAGAGACCTCAAGTGTCTCAATCACCGTCATCAGGGACTGCTAACTTTTTTTTTAAAAGATATATTTATGCATACAAGAACTGGGGTGCAGGCCAGAGGTGTGGGGGGTGAGAGGATTCACCCAGAGCAGAGTGGGGAACAGAACAGGCAGACTGACTGAAATATACTGCTGAGGGAGCAGCGGTTGAGACAGGAGAGGTCTACCCCTCCATGTGAGTAGCTCCCTGGCGGGCCGGGGATTGAACACTTGCTGCAGAGGCTGTGGCTAGCTTCACAGTGCTGTGCTTAACCCCTTGTACCACCAGGGAGTCCCTGAGGCTGTTAACTTTCTTTCCCCCTTAAACTCAAAATCCTCCCTCAGAGCTTCCCTCTGCCCAGGGTTGACATCTCCCTTCTCAGGAGTCCACTCTGTGGAGGACCTGTACACTCCTTCCCCACATGGCCTCTCCAGCCTCTCTCCACAGACCCCTCCACCTGATCCAGCTTGAGTCCGCCTTCAAAACAAGATAGAAGAAAATGCACCACCTCTCCATCCCTCTCACCCCCTCCAGCAATAGCTATTCCAGCTCGTCTCCTTCCCAGTCAAACTTTTTCTACCAGGTTGTCCATCCTTGCTGTCCTGGTCCCCTCCCCTCCTACCCATCCTTCAAAGCTAAGTCACCTGTTCCCACTCAAGTCTCTGCCCCCAGGTCGTGGAGGCTTCATCTAGCGGTGACTATTCAGTCCTCACCCGGGCCCTCTGCAGCACACGTCCCCACCAAGGTCCTTTTTTCTTGGGATTCTCTGTCCTTTTGTCTTTGGTGACTGTTTTCTCTTATTTATTTCCTCCTCCCTCATTCACGGCTCCTCTCCCTGCTTAGCCATCCATCATGTTGATGCTCTGGCAATGCTCTGTCCCTCCTCCTTCCTCTTCTCACTCTACACGGGCTGCCTGGGCCATCTCAGTCACTGCTGGTGCTTTAATCAGCACATGCCAATGACCCCCAAGCATTTATCTCAGAGCAGATTATGCTCCAAGATGCAGACTCCCTCGATGCCGACCCTGCATGCCACCATGAAGACCTTGAATTTGGCAGGTCTGAAACAGAGCTCCCTTGTCCTGAAAACAAATCCCTTCTCTTGTGCACCATTATGAATGAAGGGTGCCATCGTGAGTCAGGTAATCGGTCACCCCTCCCTCTACTTCACCTCACATCCATTAATAGACAGGACCCAGCGAGGGACTTACATTGCTTTTCAGGGCACACTTTTGGCAAAACACAGGTTTGTCTTTTCTCCTGCAACTCTAAGCCCAAGGTAGCCTGTTTAGAAAAGAGAAGAAAACTGTTCTTTTCTCATCCGGGGAATGGCAGGAGTTGCTCCACAGTGAAGCCTGATCGCCGCGGTGGCCTGGCTTCCCTGCCTGCTGCTCGGCCATAGACCAGGAGTAGCGAAAGCTACAGCCACTCTCCTCTGACATCTAGGGAAGAATTTTATTTTTTAATCACAGTATAGTTGCCAAAAAGATTCTAAGTACTTAAAAAGCTAGAAAAGTGAATAAGATTTTGCCAGATATATGATTGAAAAGGAAACAGAAAAGGAAATTGGATTTTTAACATCTAGAACTGTGTTCTCTTGTTCTGCTAGCCATGTAAAGCTATTTAAGTTTAAATTAATTTAAAAATGGCATTCCGCAGGGCCTCCCTGGTGGCGCAGGTGGTTGAGCACAGCGTTGTGAAGCTGCCCACGGCCTCTGCAGCGCAGGTTCCATCCCCGCTGGCCGGGAGATACCCACATGGCACAGCAGACCTCTCCTGCCTCGTCTGCTGCTCCCCTCAGCAGTGTCTTCAGTTCATCTTCCTGTTCTGTTCCCTGCTCTGTCACCTTCCTGCACATCTGGCCTATACCCCAGTTCTTGTATAAATAAATAAATCTTTAAAAAAAAAAGGCATTCCACAGCGGCACTCACCACATTCATCATACGTGGCTAGTGGCCACTATATTGAACAGAGCAGAATAAAATATTTCCATGATGCAGGTAGTGCTACCTACTGTGACAGTCTGGAAAAATATAATCATAGGGAGGTGAATGGCAAATAAAACAAAGGAAAGTAGGATATAATGAGAGGGACAAGTCAGTGGTGAAATTAGTGGAAGGAACTACATCTTTGGCCTTTGTGGTATAAGAGAAGGTGCTAGAACAAGGAGAGGAGGTCTGGGGGAGCTCAGAGAAGGGATGCCCATGAACTCAGGGGTAGGTGGTGGTCAGATGAACTTGAATGAGACTAGCCTTGATATAAGCACTCTCTGGCTCCTTCTCAGATTACAACACTTCCCTCCACAACCACCTGAGTCAGAATCGTCAGTTCTGGGGTCTAGACAACACTGAAGAGCTGGTGTTGGTATTGAGTGTACCAATAATTTGCTAACAAGTATATTTAAAGTGGAAGTTTGTGCATGATTTGTGAATTTATGCATTAGACTCTATCATAACCCAATTATCATAGATTTGTATTCTCCTATGCCTTCCTGAGTGAAACAGAAAGTAGGAGCCAGCACTAAATGCCCCCCACCAATACTTCTTTAGAATACAGTCTCCAAGAAGGTAGGATCAATATCTAATTTTCCCTAGCACTTAGAACAGTGCCTACTGAGAGTAAAGATTGAATAGATAGTTGTGGCATGAAAAGATGTTGGGCCTAGAAATGTCATCAGTCATATACCTTGGGAAAGAAAATTTGACAATACCTAGTCTACAAAATAAGATAGTTCCCTGAATATAACACTTCAGAACCCATGGCCTGCTTCTAAGCCATAATGCACATATCTGTAGCTTCCTTCTTAGTCACTTATTCATCCTGGACGCCTGAGGCACTGGGCAAAGCCCTTTCTCCCACACAACACCATGCGTTTTCCTCCCTTTAGCCAATGTCCATTTGATCCCCAAACCTGAGAATCCCTTGTCCTTTGCTCCACTCCCATCACCCAATAATCAAAATCCTTCTTTTAAGACTATTCACCTAAACCATATACATCTTCTCTTTGTTTCCCCAGCATGCACTAGGAATTTATTTGTCATGAATGTCCATTTGTTTGGAGTTTGCATTCTCTGCACACTCCTCTCCTCTTATACACGGTAAATCCACTGTTCAACCCTCCTTGGCTTCCTTCAAGGCACCCTGCTCAATATATTGTTTCTCAAACTGGATAATCATGTAGGAATTTCAGAGATCTTAATTCATCATACAATCTTAATTGAACATTTGTCAACTATGAAGATATATTATGAAGACAATTGCTGGCCTTTATTTGCCTCATGCTATATGCACAGCACTACACAATAGCTCATAAAATGTTGAGGTAGGTGTGGTAACTTGCCCAAGGCCACATGGATTTAGGTGGAAGAAAGGAATTAAAATCCCTAACTCTTTCCTCTGCGTGGATGCACTGTGTTTTATTATGTGCAATAAGAATGAATTTGTTCATTTTTTTCACTTTGCACATATGATTCTGGATGTTAGGTATAAAATATGAATATTACTTATACACAACTTTCAACTTCTGCCATATGTTTACCTATTTTAACTACAGAACATTTTAACTACAGAACCATTTTAGCTACAGAACATAGTCACAACCTAAAACCTAAAATTTTTAATATTCTCCATATCTACTATAACCAACTTTACTATAAAGGGGCAAATTGGGCTAATTATTTTTCTATAACTGGATAATGCCTCTTAATTATTTTGAATCATGTGAAGAATGAACTCATACTTTATTGTAAATATTTAATCTCATATATTTAATAAATAATGTGCTTTAAAATCTCCACCAGTATTTATAGGGTAAGCAGAGAGGAGCATTATCCAAAGCAAGTGTCCCTTTTAACTTAGGGTACACTTTGTACAGGGAGGAAGGGGTGGAAATAGACATAGTATTTTATAGTTTCTGAACATTATTTACTGGTTAGGAAGCCAGTTAGACTGCATATAAATAAAGCCAAAACATTCTATTAACTAAACAGCATTGCATCAAAATAATTAAATTGTAAGCAACGATTAATTCTAGTGAAAACATCTAATAGCAAGATTCAAAAAATGTACAAAGCAGTAGAAAAATAAACTTGGATAGGCAATAAACTAAATGAATGGCATTTTCTCGTCCTTCCTTATTATCTCATCTGTACATCACTCCATGAGTGGGCTCTGTAAATGCCTTTCAACTTCTCTCCCCAAGTAATTCAGCCAGCGGTTCTGCCTTATTCAACATCCATTCAACAGATCTATTATTTTGGACTTTGATAATAGTGTACAACGTACTAGAATATAGCCCTCATGTGTTTATTCTTTTCCAATTATTGGTTGAGATTTCACTACGGTTTGTGTTATAAAAACACTCAATTCTAAATTTACATATATATTCAGTAGCTAATTGCACTTTTTCCCCCTAAAAACTCATTCATCAACACACAAACAACCTGCCTATTTTCCTTACTGAAAATGGCTACTTTGGTTTATTTAATGAAGTCTCTGGGAATTTTAAATGTGAGTATAGACTTAATTTTTAATTCAAAGATCACATTTGTGCCAACGTTTTCCTTACACCTCCCAAATCCAGGAAATGTGCCAAAATGATCAGAAAATACATTTACTTATTCTTCTAAAATACTTGGAAGGAGATTAAAGCATGGGAAACTAGAAGCAGTTGAATGGAATTTGTGGGCTAAAAGAGTTTTTCTGGTTCATTTTATTGTCAGTTCC